TCTTGTTGATTTAAAAATAAAAATGTACTCATTATTTTCAATTTGAATCTCAATTTATTTTTCTTCTTTATTTAAATTTTTTAAACTACCTCAATAAAAAATTTTAAATATATAAATTTCAATTGCAAGATTTAAAACGTAAAATTTTAAATTTTGAAGTTGAAATTTATCAATTCAAATCCTACCCACAAGTTTTTGAAACTAAAACCATCATCTTTGCATTTGACAAGCCAATTGTTTTGTTCAGAGGCAAAAACCAGCCTAAAGGATATCGCATGGAGTCATAATTCCTAACAGTCAAAAAAGAATCTAGGAAGAGACAAATGCAATGTAAGGTAACGAAGGACAAGATTTGGGGTATCCAATCAATAGAGTTAATTTCCTAAGTTTCTAGTAAGCCCCATGAACCTAAACAAGAAACCGTCGAGATTACAAGGAAGCTGAGACAAAATGGATTCTATAAATTGCTCTTTAAGTTTATATTTGTCGTCATATATAGCAGGCTGGCTCTTTGTTGGAACATCTTTTCCAATGATAATTACTGCAATAAACTTTGAAGAAGTACAAACATCTTTGGAATCAGGGTAATCTGAAACCAAAATTTGTCCAGTGAAAGAAAAAGTATTGTTAGTTCATGGAAATGGATACTCTAAAGTTATTAATTTGTGAATTTCATGAATTTTTTTAACGAAAGGAGAGAATATTTTATGTTTTATAAAAAAATAAAAAATATCAAGAAAAAAAAGAAAAAACTTTATGAAAATTCATATTGGACCTTAATTTCGGAGGATTTAATCTTAGTTCATAAAAGCCCTACATGTTTAAATATGTTTTACTCTGCACAAAAAAGTTATAGTTTTAATAATCATTGATTAATTAAAAATTAAAGTAATGTTGGTTTGTAAAAGATGTTCCTTTATTGAAGTTTTTTTATTAGTTCAAAAGATATCACATTTTAGTTCTAATAACACTAGATTTAATCCCGCCTAATGCATGGAAATGTTTTAGTATAGAGTAAAAGATAAAAATAAAAATCATTTTAGTCTGCTTATAATTTAAAGTGAAGTATGTTGCCCTTTTCTCTATTTTATCTTAATTAGTATACTTTTCTTTTCTAATTTTAACATATGAACCTCTCTTAAAATTAATAGATAAAAAATACAGATATTTATTCTACTTTTAAGTTTTTATTTTCATCCACCCAATTATTAATTGATAGTTAAATTACATATGTTGAAATAAAATAATTTTCTTTAATGTTATCTAAAAATTATTCAAGTTGCTCCCAAAATGTTTAAATGATATATTCTTTTAAATTTTTATTCATATTTTAAATTTAATAGTTATACAACATTATTTATTTATTAATTTGAAATTTTAAATATGTAATTTTTTAAAATAATATTTCAAACACCATGTAAAACAAAATTAATCGAATAGGAATTTAATATAATAAGAGAAAGATTACTCAAGACAATTTATGTTTATTTTTATTTAAATTCTTTTTAAAACACTCATCTCTATATTTTATTCTAAAATTTATTATCTTATAACATATAAAATCTAGAAGTAACCAATTATTTTATTTATAATTTTTTGAGTGAATTAAATTTCAAAATAAAATTCATCAAACCTCCAAACTTTTTATGTTTTGTCTAAATAATTTTTTTTTAATTTTATTGCATATCTAACATTTATATATTATTTTTACTAAGAATCTTATATACACCACTAATTTTTACTATTGATCCTACATGTACTTTCAAAATATAAAAATTTTATTATTTTTTTACACATTGTCTAAATTTTTAACATTTACAAATGAAAATTTATGTAGAAAATTTTTTCTCCTTATATAAATAAATTTTATTAATTAAAGTACAAGTATCACATTCACTTCACAGTAATTAAAAGGTAGGTTTCTCACCCACTTTTCATTAAAAATTTAAGAAAAATTTTTTATTTTTGCATTATGCTACCCTTATATACTAGAGTATGCACTTGTGCGATGCACAAGGACATGCTAGTGTTATTGATTTTTTTTGTTTTTCCAAAAAAAAAAATTATTGTTGTTTTCACTATAGAACAGACAGTAATAAAGCATTATATTTTACAAAAGAAAAGGTTTTAACAAATATTAATATTTTTTTTTAAAATTCCTCACCTCTTGCAACTTGAATACAATCTAGCTTATTCTTAAAAAAAAAAGAAGAAGAAGAAGAAGATTCATTACCCTATGAATTTACATAGGTTGAATAATATCTTATTCTTAAAATGCTAATGACAAATGTATAACAAAATTTGTTATCCCAGACAATGCTATCCCCATATAAATCTGAATTTAAACATGCTTTATTTTATATTTTTATTTCAAAATAAATTTAATTTTATAAATAACTGTTTGCTTTATTTTATAATTTTTTAATTCTCGTGCATAGTAAAAACACAAATACCGTGCTGATTTATACTAAGAATATATACAACAAAATTGTTTTAATTTTAAACAAATAACTTAGGAATTTGTTACTCTATACATTGCATTTTAAACTATAAAGAATAATTTATTATTTCATGACGTGTTATCCCAAATATATTTAAATTTAAACAATAAAATACTTTATTTTATTTCTTGTCACTTAGCTTGACATTTTATTCTACAATTTATTATTTTTTTACGTATAGAATTAAAAATGAACAAATTATTTTATTCAAGGTTTGTTATTTGGAGTAATTTAAATTTTAAAATAAAACTCATTAGGTTATCTCTATACTTTTTACACTTTATTTAAATGTTCTCCTTCAATGATTAAAAACAGTATAATGTTGCTCCTATTGTTAACAAAAAATTAATTTTGATAATTAATTGATCAAAAAATGATAGAAAATAATCTAAAAAAAATTATAGAAAAAGACAATACAGTATACCTATTAAAAAATTAATATTGATTAATTTATCTAAATTACAAAATAAATAGTAAGAGACACCGATAAGTAATTAAAATATTAAATTAAAAGTCAAAAACATCATTTTAATAAGTCACTTTGACCAAATACAAGGTGATTGTTGGACTATTATATCGCTACAACAACACCAATAAGTAATTAAAAATATTTTATTTGTGTTAATAATATCATATTAGAACATTAATATTTTAAATTTGTTATGAAAATAGAGATTGAGAGGAGATCAGAAGAGAGAAACGTAGAAGAAGAGCTTTCTTTGTCATAGAGCTTTCTAATTATTTTGGTGTATGGAATGCAATTGATATGCACTCCATTTATAGGTACATGTATAACAATTAAATCAAATAAATATACAAAACAATACTAATTGAAAGATATTAGAAAAACTAAAAGATATGGATATCTACATAATTATCTTAATATTCATAATACTCCCTTTTGGATGTTTATAAATCGATATTATGTCTCATTAAAATCTTATTAAAAAAACTTAATTGGACAAAAACTTAGTGAGGGAAAATGAGTTTACAATAAGGTTATATTCATTGAAGCTACCTTATTAAAACCTTACCAAGAAAATCTAGTAAGACAATATTTTAGTTAAGAAAAAAAAAAGTAGTACACCATAACTTTTACTTCTCCTAATGACAATATGACTCTTTAATCCTTACTCTCTTGAATTGTCTTAAGTCATTGTATTTTAAATTTGTGCATCAATTTCTTAAATATTATTGTTGACAGTGCCTTTGCGAGTTGTTATTTTCTTATAACTTGACTATATATGAATCATTGCTTTCATATAATTAATATTTTAAAGCATTTCTTTATATATAATATATATATATATATATATCTTCTAAATGTGAACACATCTTCCATTTGTCATATCTTTTATGGGAATAACAATAAAAATTACTAATAAATCATTATAATATACATGTATTTTCATAAATAAATAATCTCTTAGAGGTCACCTTGTGTGAATCAAAATAGACATGTATAACACATATGCAAAATCAATTAATTTTCATATCAATACAAAACTTTATGATAAATCAATGCAATATTATAAATTATGATATAAAAGCATTTATATATATATATATATATATATGGTGCTTCAGGATTATATTTTAAATGATCTATTGATTTTAATTATCCAACATCTTAAGATCTTTCTATAACAATCAAGTAATATATAAACTTTTTAGAATATTGAATAATGTTAATTTCAAATGATCTTGATTCTAATTATTCAGCATCCTAACATCTTTTTATAATAATCAAGTACTTCATATAAACTTTTCAGAATATTAAATAATGTTAATTAAATCAATCAATTTGGATGCAAACTAACATGTATATAATCATATGAACTAACATAATGACATTTTTTTTTTTGGAAAATCTTTACAAGCTTTTGTCATATTGACAAAGAAAATTGGGAGATTGATAATAAGGTCCCAAAATAATGAATTAATATCATTTAAGTTCCTAATAAATTTTTTTACAAAATAAATTATAAATATCAATTCAAACAATTACAAACAAAAATTTCTATTATAATTTTAAAATTATATTTAATATTTAAATATTTATCTATAATTTAAACTTCTGAATTTGTAATAATTTGCATTGATAGTTTTAACTTACTTTTTTAAAAAAAATTATTAAGGACTTAATGATATTAATTCTAAGACTTCAGTGTCATTTCTCTAAAAAAAAAAAAATTCACAGTGGAGCTTCCGTCCGAAAAGAATCTGACCGGCACCGGACTCAATCCAGCTGGCTTCGGGAGAACGGATGATTTACTTCCAAAAAGAGAAAAGGAAGTATCATATTATTATAGCCACAGCGAGTCCTCTGCAGTCGAGGGACCATGACTCCATGAGGGCAATTTGACAAAGAACTCAACTTTTTTTCCATTTTAGTGTAATGCACTGACTAGACGTGGGCCGCATCGCTATCATCAATGGATATGCTAATGCTCACACTCACTTGTCGGCGATATTTTAACATAGCACTCACAACATACATTACACGCTCTCTGGATGGGGCCACACTCACAGTCTCACTTCTCATGGCTGCTTCTGCCTTTCCCTCTCTTCTCTTCACTCGAATTCTAGGGTTTGCAGTCGCACTTCTTGTTCTCTTCTGGGCCTCTGCCTTCACCTCCAGCTTCTCTCACCACAACCTTCTTCTCTGCTCAGTACGTACTCACCCCCCCTCTCTTCTCGCTCCAAAAAAGTCTGCTACTTTGCTTCTTTCTGGGAAAAGCAAAAGCTAAACCTGCTCTGCTTTCTCTGCCTGCAGGTTCTTCATCCTCTTCTCATGGTAATCGGCTTCATTCTCATCAGCGGAGAAGGTAGCTCCTAATAACTAATAACTAATAACCCAGCCTCTGACATCTAACAATGTAGCATTGATTGAAAGGGTGACTCCATCTTTATGCAGCAATCTTGGTTCACAGATGGTTTCCTGGGTCCAGAGGGTTCAAGAAATGTCTGCATCTGTGGCTTCAAGGGGTGGCTTTGACTTGTGGCTTCTTTGGAATCTGGACTAAATTTCATGCCAAGGATGGCATTGTGGCTAATTTCTATAGCCTGCATTCTTGGATGGGTTTGCTTTGCATCTCCCTTTTTGGAGCTCAGGTATCTTCTTCTTTCTTTACTAACATCTTCAGATTTCAGAGCACACAGCTTTTCTTTCATTCTTTCTTGGGCTGTGAGCTTTTTGGTTTGGTTTTTGGGAGTTCATGAATTTTTGGCTGTTTGTTTCCCGAGAACTAATAATCTCTCCCATTAATAATTCATTGGAATACCAAGCAGAGGGTTGATATTTTAAGTTAAGTTGGCAGTAGTATAGTGTAGCGTGCAAGAAATAGCTATCCATGGTGCCCCTTAAATTATTTGTTATTTAATTTAATGGTTTAACTTTTAGGAAAAATAACATCTACGAATCACTGTATAATATTTATATTTTACAAGGATCAAATAATTTCATAATATCATTATAGCCCTTTGGTCCTTCTGATATATAAATTTCACATGTAAAAAAATCAAAATATCCCTTAGTTAAAAAACCAAAAAAAAAAAAGATAGCCCTACCGTTGTTGGTGTTGACCGTTGGACCACCATCGGCCGTTGAACCTCCGCTGATGGCGAGGTTGCCGGAGCCCTGCTGTCGGTAGGGTCGCAGGTAGCCGATTGCCGGAGCTTTGATGTCAGCAATATTTTATTTCAGAACTGAAGTTTTTAGGTGGCCTAAAAAGCTTGGTAGCCTTCAATATATATGTGGCAAAAAAATTATAAGTAATAAACCAAGCAAAAAATCACTTTCATGTAATAACCTAATATATATTGTTAATTTGTGAATGAAACTTGTTATTTTATAAATGTTACTTGTTAATCAGATATGGACAATTATAAATTAAGGATTTCAAAACTTCACTCATTTTACTTGTTAAATGTCCTAATGTCTTATTGTCAATTACAAATAGATTGTTGTCAAAACCAAACGGATACTTGTTAATGAATGACTAATACATATTGACCCTTCCTATCAATTTTTCTAACAAGTATTTGTTTGGTTTTGACAACAACCTATTTTTGATTGACAAAACAATATTGGGACATTTTAACAAGTAAAATGAGTGAAGTTTTAAAACCTTCAATTTGTAATTGTCTATGTCAGATTAACAAGTGACATTCATAAAATAACAACAATTCATTTAAAATTAACAAGAATCTATTATGGTTTTTAACAAGTTAAAAAAAATGATAGGAAGGGTTTAGTCATTTGCTGACAAGTATCAATTTGAGTTTGACAACATCCTGTTCATGATTGACAACGATACATTAGGATGTTTCATAAGTAAAATGAGTGAAGTTTTGAAGCCTTCAATTTGTAATTGTTAATGTTAGATTAACAAGAGACATTGTAAAATAACAACAATTCATTTGAAATTAACAAGAATCTATTATGGTTTTTAACAAGTTAGAAAAAAATAATAGGAAGAGTTTAGTCATTCACTAAGAAATATCCGTTTGAGTTTGACAATAGCTTATTCATGATTGATAACAAGACATTAGAATATTTTACGAGTAAAATGAGTGAAGTTTTGAAACTTTCAATTTGTAATTGTCCATGTCAAATTACAAGAAACATTCGTAAAATAACAACAATTTATTTGAAATTAACAAGAATATTATGGTTTTAATAAGTGAGAAAAAATAATAGGAAGGGTTTAGTCATTCGTTGACAAGTATCCATTTGAGTTTGACAACAACCTATTTGTGATTGATAACAAGACATTGAAACGTTTAACAAGTAAAATGAGTAAAGTTTTGAAGCCTCTAATTTGTAATTGTCTATGTCAAATTAACAAGTGACATTCGTAAAATAACAACAATTCACTTGAAATTAACAAGAATCTATTATGATTTTAACAATGTAGAAAAAATGATAGGAAGGGTTTAGTCATTCGTTGACAAGTATCCGTTTTATTTTAACAATAATTTATTCGTGATTGACAATAAGACATTGTGACGTTTAATAAATAAAATGAGTAAAGTTTTAAACCCTTAATTTGTAATTGTCAATGTTAAATTAACAAGTGACATTTGTAAAATAATAAGTTCTATTCAGAAATTAACAACACACATTAGATTATTACACAAAAGTGGTTTTATACTTGATTTACTACTTATAATTTTTTTTGCCATATATATATATATATATTGAAGGGCTTGGTGATCTAGTGGCCACCAAACTTTTTAGGTAGCCAAGGGTCATGGGATCAAACCCACCCTTGACCACCTAAAAACCTCAATTCTAAAATAAAATGCTATCGATGCTAGAGCTCCAGCAACCGGCCCCCAGCAGCAGGGGCTCTAGCAATGTCACTGTCGGTAAAGATCTGATGGCCGGTGGTGGTCCGACAGTCGGCGTCGGCAACGGTGGAGGTTTCTTTATTTTTTTAATTGAGTGGCATTTTGGTCCTTTCATATGTGAAATTCATATGTTAGAAGGACTAGAGGGTTGGGTGATATTATAAAATCATTTGATCCTTGTGGGATATAAATATTATACAATGGTCCTTGAATGTTATTTTCCCTAACTTTTAATTATAAGAAACAACATTTTTATTAGAGTATTAATATGAATTAAAAATTTTCTTTTATATCTTCATTAAAAATGATTATTTTATTTACTAGATCAACCACCTACCAATTATTAAATGGGGGTATATTGGAATATTTGTAACATATTTATTAATTCAATTAATAACTTTAACTACATTTCTTAATCTTTGAAAATTAGTCATTCCTTTCTTATAAAAAAAGGAGATGGAGTATCATATAATCCTCCTCCTTTTTTATTTATTGCATATAAGGCTATTTTTATTATAAGCAATAGGATTGTGTACTAAATTAGGGCATATTTTTCGGTGAAATTTTTCTTCCTATATTCGTAATGCATATTGTCCATTTTATGATGTCCAAGCAAAGAGTATCTTAAAATATTAAAAGAAAATAGGGAATTGTTTTTTTACCAACAAAATAGGGAATCTTTTGGAAACATTAAAAGACTGTCAAGAAATTAAAGCGCGGATATAGTGTAAATTATAAAAAAAATGAAAAATAAATTACTAGAAAAAGGTTAATAACTTAAGTTGAAATAAATATATTAAATTAAAAATGAAAGTAAAAATTATATATATATATATATATATATATATATATTATGGAAGACTCCAGCCCTTAAAGTGTAAATGCGTCAAAGGTTTGACTACTTTGATGCTTACACTTCGTGGAAATGTTTACTATCAACTGCATCACCACTTCACATTTTCTTTTAAATGTTTATCACCATATTCTTTAGTAAAAGTATGATATATACTCTCTTGATTAAAAAATATAAAATTTTTTAATCAAATCTCACTCTCCAATAAAATAATTATTTATATTTAAACTAATCATATCTTTTTATATTTATCACTATTTAATAGGGTATTTCACCCTAAAATTAAATATAAAGTGATTCATTTAATAAAAATATTAAAAAAAAAGAATAATTACACTTTGAAAGATTAAAATATTTTATATTTTTTAACATTTAACTTCTCAAAAAATATCTTACATTTTTTAATGAAGAGAGTATCTATATATATATATAATAAATTTTGAGAGACTCAATCTTGTGGTCCGATTCAGGGATAAAAAGGTATTTATGTATTATAAAAATGTGAGTGCATTGATATTCATGTAACTTTCCCTTCAAGGGAAAAGAACGATTTATCTCTTCTATTTGAATAAGTTATTCATGATCTGTATAAATATTTTTCAAACTAAGAGGACTAACATTATAAACAGAACAAATAGAAGGAATGAAGAATAACAAAAATAGATTAAAAAAACTACAAACAAAATACGATTAAGTATAGGGCCTAGCTAGAGTGTTACTTTCCCAATATAAGTATATATGCATACTAATGATGCTGATTGAAAAGAGGAAAAGCATAGAGAGACAACACAACAAGCAAAAGATGATGAGAATGTATTCATTATACATGAAGAGCCACCATGCTCATGCAGCAAATGACAATAAACCCTATTCTAAGCATGATTAACAAATTAAAGAAACATTCATCTAGCGAAGGGTTACAACAAAACAAACCCATGAGTCAACTAATAATTAAAACTCTCCACATATTTAATTTACTAGCTAGGATCTTTATATGTAGTATAGGGTCACAACCAACTAACTAAATGATTAACACAACTAATGGCTTGAAAATCACTTTTGACTAATTCAACCTAATTACAATTACATGAATTTTGTGTAAAATTGCAGTGGTTGATAGGGTTTTGGAACTTGTGGCATAGAGGAGAGGTGAGGAAGGTGAGGAAAAGAATACTACCTTGGCATGTCTTCCTCGGACTCTACACATATGGTCTGGCTGTAGCAACAGCAGAAACAGGACTTGCAGAGAAGCTCATATTCTTGCAAACCAGAGCCAACTTGTCCAAACACAGTGCAGAATCTGTGGTGATCAATAGCTTAGGTCTAGGTCTTGCCCTCTTGAGTGTCTCTGTTGTTTTTGCAGCTCTTTCTCCCAAGAACCAACGCCAACAACCTCCTCTCCAAACCAACACCAAGGGATTGCTTTTGCTTGTCTTTGTGTAGCTCCCATGTATGTACAGTTTGCATTTTTGTCACTTGAGTTTGGTTTTGGGGGAGATGAGTCTATCTATCTAAGAATATCATTAACTACCCCTAATTATATTTACAATATTCTAGCTTTTGCATGCGGGGTTTTCTACTTTATGTGCTTGAGAAATTTGTGGATGGACTTTGAAGCTATGATACACACATATATGTATCCCATTTGTAAATACTTTTATTTTTTAAAAAATATAGGATATAATATGTTTAGGACATGTGCGCGCGCGCGCACATATATATTCATAAAAAATGTATAAACATACAATATAATTTCAATTCAAGAAATATCCAAACTGGCACAATAATTTTATAGTCCTTTAATAACATTACCAAATAAAACACAATTACTAATTATAGTTTTACCCTATCTGCATTATAGTTTTATCCTATCTGCATCTAATTGCTTACTGCCTCATCATCATTTGATAAGTTCATCACTTCCAAAATTTTGGTATCATTAAAGTTTTCCAATTTGTCAAATCTAATATTTTATTTTAAAAGAAAATTATAAAAAGATATTAAGAATGAAGATTAATATTGCAAGCATTAATAAAACTTAATTTCTTAATAAAATGCTTTGAAATATTGCTGTTGAAGTATTAACTCATAATCTAGAAGTATCGAATATGTATTAAATTTTTAAAAAAATAATTAAAAAATAATATTTTGATATTTTATAAAAACGCATTGAAAAAATATCGATATATAGATATGAAGATATTAAGAAATTTGAAGTATAGTTACTTTGTAACTTTTGCAAGTCATATAAAATATAGTGGAGGGTTTTTTTTTTTTGGGTTATTAGTTCAGTTCACACATATGCAAATGCATCATGTGTTTCCAAAAACTTTTGTTACTTGGATGATAGGAGACTTTCTATAATCAGAGAGAATGAGACGTTGGTGGGAGATTTTCTCATTCAAGTGTATCTGTCATACTAGTTTGTAAAGGTATAAAGTTAAATGATATTTTTATTTTTCAACTACTCTCTCCCAAACGCATAATATTTTAAACTTTTATATTATACAATTTTTTTTTTAACTTTTGAATTAAGAGTTAAATGGTACATCAAATATTTTGTTATTAAAAAAATTAACTTTAACCATTAATTAACTTTAAAATTGTAAGAAATGACTTCAAAAATTATAAAAAATGACTTAAAAAATTACATTAGGACTTTACTAGAAATTTATTATCAATTAAATCTCCTAAATTACGTATAAATAACAAGATATAAACATTACTTTTTACCTACCTAAAAAGTTAAAATACCATGTTGAGGAAAATTGCATCGGATATTAGTGTTTTTGAGTGAATAGTCAAAGGATAAAACCTTGAATAATTCTGCACATTCTATTTCCATCGTCATACTGTTGGAATTAAAACCAATCAGGCGGTTAGCAGCGGATCTATGAATTGTTTACGTGGGGAAGGCCAAAGTTTTCCTTCAATTAACTGTATATGCCTATGGAGCAAAACTCATTGGATTTTATTTAAGAATCACTTTCAAGTTACACACAGACAATTTAAATACGAAAAAATCATGAAATCACAAAATTATTTTAAAGTCTTACATCTTAAATAGTTATTAATTATTGTCATTTAGTTGTTAACTTTACAACTTTATTAATAATTATTTAGCAGTAATTGACAATTTTAATAAAAAGGATAAAAGACTTTAGAGTAATTTTATAATTTTATGATATTGTTTCAATATTTGGGGTGGAATTTCAAATTGATTTTCTCTTTTTTAACTTAAATTTAAAGATCACAAATAAGTTTAAAAAGATCGGAGAAAATGTGTTGGGCAAATGTACCATCATGCTAAAAAAATATTTATTAAAATACTACACTTTTTCTAATTTTTCTTTTCTGTCGGCCATGCAAAAGAACTCAGTTTCTATCCAACGGAGTTGTATACAATTAATAAAAAATATGTCAGAGTTATGCCTGCTAGTATGCAGTGACCCAATTTTTTTTACAAAAATATAAATTATAGAAAATAATAATAATAATTTGAATATTCAGACTAAGACTTTTTATATTTGAACTTGGTTCATGTTTCTTTGAATTTATAAGATACCAAATTTTTTTCACTAAAAAGTGTCCTATATAACAGGGATCAGATAGAGTATATAATTAAGATTTTGTAAAAGAAAGATCAATATATTTCACTCTAATTTAGGTGAGTAGGGCTTTAGAAACTCACTAGAGCTTGAGTATTTTTTGTTTAAATTCAAATAGTTCTATAAAGATGCTTATAAATTTATTCATCAATAAAGACAATAAAATTTGGCATCACCCAAATTTATATTACATTTGAACTGTACAAATTAGAAGAGGGAGAATTATTTATAAATTTTGTAGGTGTGGGGGAGTCATTACATTAATTGAGGACAGAAGGTTTGGAGGTATGAGTTTGTGATGGAGAAAAGTTTCTTTACTTTTTTCTCTCTCCATTTTATGAATGGTAGGGATTAAAAAAATGGAGAAAAAAAAGTAAAAAAACTCTTCTCCCTCATTTGTGTGAGAGAAGAAAGTGAGAGGGTGACAGTTTGTGGTGGCATAACTATGACATGCATATTATTAATTGTATAATTTGGTTTGATATAATTTTTTGACATAGAAGAAAAATTAGCACTTATCAAAAGTTAATGTGAATGGTAAATACTATCGTCATTTAAATAAATAATTAAAAATTTAATTTTAATTTTTTATATATGTAACAATTTAATTGAGTGAGATCTATCATTTGTCTTTTGTATCTTGAATGAAATAATTTCTATTGTCAGAGGAATCCATGTCTTACGCTACCAAAAAAAAAAAAAAACTAGAACTTGGTGACTCAGACTGAATTTTGATTTATAGTATCTTGATAAATATTTTTTAAAGTATAACATTTTGGTACATATTTTTTTTTATAGCATGACGGTAAATTTTCCAAAATGTCCTAAAATATTGGGTCAAGTTTGATATAATGACTGTTTAAACTTGTTTTTATAAAAGTTTAAGAATGAAAAATTAAAATATTTTATACTCATTCTATTTAGACTGTCAATCTAACCTTTTTAACAACTTAATCATTAGTTGAAAATACCTAATAAATTTATCTATCTAGTTTTAAATTTTTAATCATATTAGGCTTAAAATCACTTACCAAATTTTTTAAAGCCTCATGATAGATGAATTAAATTTTTGAAATTCAACAATACCCACATAAAACTTCTGTACTATCAGTGCGGCTCACAGTGTGATCTTTCTCTTCCTCAATTTCCAGGAATGCGAACACAAGTAAAGGACGCGCACATGCGAGCAGACCACTGCCAATAGTATTTTAATACCATCGCTAATGTCAAATCAAAGTGGGCTTGATCCCCCACTTTGATTATATATTATATAATAATCAATAATTTGTTTATATATACACACACATATTTTATAAAACATTTCTGCATATGCATATCAATTTTTTCTATTTTTTGCATTTCGTTTAAATTTTTTTATAATTAACTAATTATAATAAATTGAATTACTTAATTTAATTATTTTTCTTTAATATCACCTAATCATATACTGATTTTTTTCTAAAAAATATATTTTTAATTCTTTTTGAGTAAAATAACATTACTCAATTAATTACATGGTAAATTTCAATTGCCATGCAATTATGTTCCAGTTAATAAAAATTTTAGATGTTGCAGCATTTATTAGAATCTTAGAACCTGGATCAAATCGAAATATGGTCTCCTCAAGTGTCCCTGACGAGATGTGGCAAGCTCAGCCTTGAGTTCCTTGCTTTCATAGAGGCCAGACATCCCTCACTCAGTCCCCCTATCTACTTTTGATTCAAGGGGAGAAAAGGGAATGGAGGATAGTATATTAAAATTTAATATTAATAGTTTAAATTTAATATTAAAATGTACTATTCAAAGTATATTTTAATAATTAAGTTATAAAAAATTTTTAATATTAAATTTAGATAATTCATATTAACCTTTAACTACCCAAATTAATAATAAAACATGTTATCAATATTTTTTTAATTTTTTAATAAACATAAAAAAATGTTTTAAACCACGTGCAGGATGGTGGTGCTTTATATTTATATATATATATATATATATATATTATTTTTTATATTTTTTAATAATTTAAATTGTATTATTTTAAAAAAATAAAGGGAAAATGGAGAGGGGGGAAGTGGGAAGCCATCGACTTTTTTAATCTGTGAGTGATTGTGGCTGTGGAATGTGGCAAAATTAATAAGAGCCAATTAATTATAAATTTTGATTCCCTTCCGAAAAAAATTTAATTTGGAGAAAGTTAAAATAAAGGGGGGCCTCCACTCCTCCTCCAAAGTCACTTGCCCAAGCCTCTCTCTTCTAAAGCCCTCAACCAAACACACGCTCTGTCAAGATTCGCAGTCTCGCTCGACTCCCTCCGTTCCTCGACTCAGTCAGCCCAAGTCTGGAAATCGGGGACGCAAAGCAGAATCGATTCCAAAAATTACCGCCATGGCTTCGAAGCTGCTTTTGTTGGGTAGGCTCTTGAGGTCTGCGAAGCCGTCGCTAGCATTCCCTTCCTTAAATTCTTGCTCTTTGGTTTATGGGTCCCGCCTTCTTCCTTTAAAGGCGTCCCAAATTCTGGGTTTCTTGGAGAATATACACCTGCCTCCTCCTCCTTCGTCCTCCTCTTCTAGAAGCTTTTGCTCTCGCAGTTTGAACGTTGAAGGGCCCGCTGCTATTGATTACCGGTATGAAGTCTCCGTTTTTAACTTAGTTCATACTTTCCTAAGGAACGCTTCCCTCCCAAGAGTTAATAGCCAAAACCGAAGAAAGGAAGGGGAAGAAGTACTTTGTTAAAAATTTTAAGTTTGGTTCATTTGTAACTGCATCGAGCATCATGGTTAAGTTGCTTGGTTAAATTTCAGTATTGAATATTGCCCATGTTGCCACAGTTGCTATTGAATTGTTTTATCTTTCTTATTTTACGCAAGAAGTTGTATAATTTACTAACATTATCACAGTGGTGGCATATGTTTATTATAAAAGGGAATAATTTTTGGTAATGATTGATGTGAATACAGTTCTATACTGCAGGAGGATGAATTCCACAGACTGGCAGATAACGCAATACATGACCTGCAAGAGAAACTCGAGGTACCTCTAGCTTTTGTTTAATCAGAATTGTCATCCACTACAAAGTTTTGAGTATATTTATCCTAGCATCTTGTCTTATACTTATTTCTTTGGAAAATAAGCTATAGCTGTAACGGAACGTGATATTTAAACTTAGGCACTTATCATCTAATTTTGCCTTGTTCATTGTCAGGGCTATGGAGATTCTGTTGAAGTTGATGGGTTTGATATAGACTATGGGGTAAGGACAATTTTCTGGGATTCTTAGTGACAGAAAAATGGATCATCTATTAGTTATTGAAAAAGGCAACAAAATTTTATAGATTTTTGAACTACGAATTGATGATGTTTTATAGCATTTGTAACTAATCATATTGTCAAATTTACAATTTGATAACCGAAACTAAATTTTGTTATTTGGTTTTCTAAAATTATATTTCTTAAATCCTTTTTTATTAGCAATTTTCTTGAGCCAATTTTTATGAATAATTTTTGCCATTTGTCTTTTTGACAAAATTTCTAGTTTCAAGAAGTGAATTCTTGTTTGGAGCGTGCACCATTTTTTTTTTTTAATAAGTCATAGCATTTGGCAGAATGATGTGTTGACTGTAAAATTGGGGGATCTTGGCACCTATGTGGTAAACAAACAAACACCAAATAGACAAATATGGCTGTCTTCTCCTGTCAGGTATTTATTCGTTCCTATTGGTTGTCTTCTGTTCAGAATGTTGTATGCAGTGTTGTTCATTTTCTCTTGTAAAAACCATGCTAGCTGTGCGTGATTTGCAAGCTGAGTTGTTCTATTATGGCTGAATATCAACATTTGTGGGATAAATGCTAGATTTTGTTGGAAGATGGTCTTAGAAGGTTTGCATAAGTTATAATGTGCAGGCTATAGCACTCTGGAACCTGGATATCTGTTAACTTTGAAATTGATGCCCTTTGACTAATCAATTTGAATTACTTTATCAGTGTAGAAGAGCAAGAAGTTGGGTTCTAATTGATTTAAAATCTCCTCTCCACTATTTTGGAAATTTCTGGCATATATGATTTGAAATAAGTAAACAAGGTGCGGCTATTATGGAAGAACCCATTTACTCAATTTTTCCCCCTTAAGGAGAGATTTTTAACATCTTCATATGCAAACTGAGGGCAGGAGATTTGATGTTTATGGTATGTAGTATGTCTTATAGTTTTGATGAGACAGCTGTAGTTGTAGGCCCCTGTATGTGGAGATTTTAATACTTCATCCTCCCTAGAACATGCACAGACAAACATGTTTGTGCACTTTTGAAACAGATGGTATCTTATGATCATCACGTGCCCTTTTCTTTTCTGGAGATTACTCCAGTATAGCACTAAGTTAGCTCTCAGTGATGTGGTGATTGATATTTTGATTTAAATTATTTAGTTATCTTGAAGGCCTTTGTTATTCTCAAGTCTTTGGTTTTATTTCTATCTGTTGAAATCCAAATTTAACTAGTAGACTGAGAATCTTGAGAAAGTATTTAATAGTGAGAAAACTTAACCTATGGCTCCTTCTTGAATTACCCTTTACTAAAGTGAAGGCATTTTGATCCTCTACACGATTATCAGATTTCAGATGCTAGAAAGTTGTATTCTTATCATGGGCATATTATCCCTCTAATAGAAGCTAGTTTGGACTGGTGTGGGTTCTCACTGAAAAAAATGTGTTTTCTTATCCGCATCAAATATATTTTGATCGTTTTAGCTTTTTCCATAAATGTTTCGTTATCTCTTGGACGCCTGTCCAATGGATTTTATCTCTGTTTGCAGTGGTCCATCTAGGTTTGACTGGGATCAGGAAGCTAAAGCTTGGATTTATAGGCGGAACAAAGCAAACTTGTACAAAGTCTTAGAAGATGAATTGGAGCAATTGTGCGGCAAGCCCTTAGTTCTTTCCTAAGCTGTTGGGAAAGTTTACCTACAATCTGAGTTTCTTTTTTAAACAAAGAAATAATTGATGATGAATTTTGGTGTTTATTTGTACTTTTAGGCTCTCTTCTCGCCTTTAGCTCTATTTGATTGTATCAATTACACTGATTTATAGTTGATTGTGCCATCTAAATAATAATCTCTATAAGAAATCCACGTTTACGATTGCGGTCATTCTGATTTATGGAATGCTTGTATAATTGTTGTGAACATACCAATGCATAAAGTTTAGATATTCAGCTAGCATTTTGGCATGCACTTGGAGGTTTAGGCGAGTTGCTACTGTAAAGTGAAAATTAGTTGGTTTGCATGAGTGAGGAAATTCTATCCTTTGATTAATCAAATTAACACAATCACATGCCTTTCTTTTTTCTTTTTCCTTTTTCGATAGAGAGGCGAGCAGAAGCCCAAAAGAAAAATAAGAGTACAGAAACAATGAGGCCCCATTGGCCATATTTGACATAAGAGATGCCAGTCTTCCTTAACTAAAGCTAAGAAGCTATTAGGTGCTGATGGTAGTAGAAAGGTTTCAAACAAAATCCATGAGCTTCATTAGCAAGTAGGTCAGCACATTAAAATGCTTCTCTGTTGTTATGATGGAGTTTAATATCCCATTCATCATAAAGCAACGTTCTAGTGTCTTCAATTTTAAATCAAAGAAGATGATCAAGACTACTATCCTCTGATAGGATATTTATTGCTTCTAGAGAATTTGAGAATAATTGGATCTTAGTGAGCTTGACTATTTTACATACTTTCAATCTAGTCTTGATAGCAAGGACTTCAGCAGCAATATTTTACATGCTCTTTTGGTAAACTACACCATAACTGTTATCCTCTAACAAGAGGATAACAATTATTGATGGAAGGTACAAAACCCAAGAGATAACCTAGCTGAGATTTAGGACATTTATTCGCTTCCCATTGTACAAAATCAAGCTAAAGTTGGCAATCAATCAAGAGTAGTTGTTTTTCTTCATCAATCAGACCAAAAAAGGTGTTGGGTGAAATAATCTCTCTCTACAATAGTAAAAGCAGCAACTTTGCGCCTTTCCTGTCTGTCTGCAAACATTCAACCCTGTAATATTCGCCTTTGTGTCTGCAATGGCAGGTGGCAACTCCATTTTGCAGCAGAGTCCTGATACCTATGACCTGTCTTCAAGAAGCAGATGAAGCATCCACGTCCAAGCTGGTTCATGCGAAGATTTCCCTAAGATTTACTGTGTTAGATGTATAAAATATGAGGTTTAAATCATGCTTCAGCTTTATATGTCAATGAATATTGTTGATTCATTCTCTTTCATAGGCAGGTAAAATAGGACTTGTTCGACAACCTATTTTGATAACAGTTCTTTATTCTTAAAAAAAAAATAAAAAAATTTGTTTAATAATGTATTTTAAAAAGTGTTTTTGAAAAAAAATAAAATATTATTTAGAAGAATTAAAAAAAATATTTTTTAGGTGGTTTATAATTATTGTTCTGAAAAAATACTTATTTTTATTATTTTTTATTCTCAAAATATATTTTACAAAATATTAATTTTTAAAATAATAAAATAAAAATAATTTCAAACAGACTTATAGTTTTTTTTTTTTTTTTTCGTTTTAGTTTGGCCGTAAGGTTTTCTTTCAAACTTTAACTCACAATCCTAGATATAATATAATAATGGTCTAATTACCAATGTATTTAGTTATAAATATATAGCATACCTCTAATTACCAACAAAAATTTATTTAGATGATGAGGATTTAACTCATAATTTATAAAATTATAGGTTCAAATTTTGTTAATATGAGGATTTCGTTGATGAAAAATTTATAAGTAATTCTATAAAATATTTTTTAAATTTAAAAGCATGTCTTAATTTTAGTGAGTTTTTAAGATTCAACTCACCTTAATTTTTTTAATAAAAAAATAGAGACCAAAAAAAAAAAAACCAAGAAGAACGAGGGTGCGATAAGATAAATTTTATACACAAATGTTGGTGGACTTGCCAATGAATTCTGTTTCGTTTTCACTTCCCCTTTTGTTTTGATCTTGATTTTGCTCACGTGCGCGTATGAAAGCTACCCATTTTAAAATGTGTTCAATAACTCAGCATACAAGTTTTGTCATTGTCCAGATTTAAAATCATTGACAGTTGATAATATTGGAATCTTACCATATAACTTACCTCGTGATCAATTTTATTCCTTTAAAATGTTTGCTCAATATTTTCTATGAGAACTCAAGATGCAAAAAGAATTCAAAATTTTCTGCAGAAAAAAACTGCGAAAATGTAAAGATTTGAGCTTCTTCATGAAGCCTTTGAATGCAAGCGTACGGTACTGAATGGTAGTAAAAGGGGGAAAAAAATGAAGTTCATCACAAAATTACGAAAATCTGGTAATTGTAGTCCCAAAAAATAACTGGCAATTGTCACAGTCAACGTCGTAACGACAAATTTTATTTTCAAAAGCATGAAAACGATCAATACTAGGACAATTAATTAGTTAATCAGGGATCAATAATCAATAAATCATAAAATAATCGAGTAAAATACAGTAGTCCCCTTTCTGTTTTGTTAAAATTGCAAAACCTATACTTTAGTATAATATTTAACATTGTTGGGAATATTCGGTTAAAAATTATAAAACGCTTAATTTTTTATTTGCAATAATGTTGAAAATTTTAAAATTACTAGTTTTTCCTTATAATCTAATTATGTACTCTCTCCCAATTTAAAATTTTTTAAATCATTAAATACGTCAATATTTAAATAAATAATTTCAAAATTTTGTGTTAAAATTAATGAAATTTAAAGAAAAATAAAGATAAATTATATTGAGTAATTTATTATATTAAATTCTTATTTCATAAATATTTTTAACTACATGTTTGAATATTATTTTAGCCAATTTATGTATTTAATTTTTGAAAAAAAATTAAATAAATACATTTACATAATTAAAAAATTTAAAATTTAAATACAAATGTAAAAAATATATATTTATTAATTTTTTGGGTAATTTGAATAATTTTTAGATAATATTTATATTTAAAAAGGAGTATTTTGAACTAATATACTCTCTCTATTAAAAATATAATGTATTTTTTGAGGAGTTAGATATTAAAAAATGTAAGATATTTTTAATATTTTGAGGTGTAATCATTGCCTTTTTTTTATAAAAATATCACTATTGATAATTGATTTTGTATTTATTGTATGATGTTAAATATGAATAAATAAAAAGATAGAATTAGTTTAAAAGTAGGCAACTATTTTATTAGAGTGTAAGATTTAGTTAAAAATACTTTATATTTTTAATGGAGGAAATGTGTAATTCAATGATCAACTGGTGGTTGAGTTGATGAGAATAAAATATTAAAAGTTTAAAACTAGAAGGAATGTTTGCGTTTTGAAACTGTTTATATTAAAAGAAGTTTATATAAATTTCAAAAAGAAAAAGGAGATATCTGTGATTAATATAAAACAGAAGGATGGTCAGAGTATTTTATTCAAAATAATAGAGTAATACCTAATAGTTCGAATTTCATTATGCTCGCGACCTAGCATCTCCAAAACAAACGCCTTGACCTTCATGCATCGACCTTAAATTGTTTGGGCCATTAAACTCTACAGCTCTGTACGTAGATGCCGAACGCGATGCTGACCCACTTTCTCGTGCGCCATGACGGCCAACACCAACCTTCTCTCCTTCTTCGTTAACACTGCTGTCTAAACTGAAGTCATCGTTTCCAGAAGCCATAACAATCAATTTCAAAACTCAAAATGGAGGAGAAATCTAGAAATACAATGGAGACAAGAAGATTACAAAAGGTCTTACAGTTCTTCATCTTCTAATCGTGTCAAAATTGAGTTGGTCTTCTGTTATTCTATTTCTACGTGATTTCTTGATCTCATTTTTTTTTTAATACAAATATTATCCATTCCGCTAATAGATCATCGCCGGAAAGAAGAATAAAGGAGGCGTTTTTGGGTGGAATCCCAAAACTTACCAAAACTTTATAGCAGACTTTGCTGCAATATTTGCAGCAATTGTTAAGATTATGTGTCATTTAAAATTTTTTAAGTATAATAGTGAACTACAGTGGATCTGTGCATTTGTTCCAAACATAGTCAACTTATATATACATATATACCCCTCCAATTTTTAAGCATTAGACTGAGAATCTTGAGAAAGCATCTAATGGTGAGAAAAATTAACCTATGACTCTATGTTGAATTACTTTTTACTGAAGTGGAGGCATTTTGGCCCTTTACACGATTGTCAAATACAAGAAAGGTTTATTCTTCTCATGAGCATATTATCCCTCTACTATAACCAGTTTAAGCTGGTGTAGGTTCTCACTGAAAAAAATGTGGTCTCTTGTTTGCATCAAGTATATTTTAATTGACATCCAACAATCAAGCTTTGATTTTAATTGATGGTACCTAAGTAGGATGAACAATTTTACCTCAAAAGCTAATTATTGAGGTGGGATACTAATCCACTTACATGCTACGTTAAGCATTTATATTGGTTTCCCACATTATACTAAATCTCTATCAATTGGCTTCCATAAAAAAAGTTGATTGAAAACTATATTTCATGTGTCAATTATAATCTTTTATAGGTAACCCTTTCCAAACAATTGACAACCAAGCTTTGACACTTCTAATTACACAATATTTTCTCAACATACACTCTAAAAAACCAGGCATGTGCGATAAGAGAAGAGGAAGAGATGATTTTGACGACAATATACATTGCTTTAGTACAAAGCTTGTCATGGCATCAGGATCTTAAGGTGGTAGGAGATGCACTGACCCTTGAATATATTTTTTAAATCAATCCATCAAAACATGACTACATTTTACTTAATCTCCATAATGGAGCAATGATGTGAAAATTTTTGAGTCTTAATATGCTTGGATATTTATTAAGCTATTGGGGTTTAACTCACGTTAATTTTTTTAAAAAAATTTTGTACATGTATTTCGTTTAATAAAGCGATCTTGTTTGAGGTATTTTTATTTACTTCTTTCAATCTTTTTACAAGGCAGTTTACAAAACAAAAGTAATCTTAATTATGAGGTTTTTTTTTTGTAAAATTATTTCTATATCTATACTTTAGTTTCAAAGGTATTTTTGAAACTTGAAATTATATGATGACCTTGCATAAATATCAAAGTGCCTGTATGATGTTTTAATTAATTATATTTTTCATAATAATATTTATATCCATTTAATTAATAAGATTATAATTAAAAAATTAAGACGTTTTCAACAAATATAACAATATAATAATTTTTTATTTAATTTGCATATTTAAGTTGATTTTATGCCTGTTAATATGGATGAACACTTATCTTAATTTGCAAAATAATACTTTCATTAAATGTTTGCCTGTCTCTTTTCCCCCATGGAAATGGATCTTGTGCTTTCCCCCCTTCTTTGGTCTCTTTCTTTTGCATGTCTTTTTTTATTAATAAAAAAGTGTGAAAAAGAAAAAGAAGAAGAAGAAGAAGTGGTTAATGTGTTATATTAAAAGAAATATAAAAAGTGAGAAAAGATAGCAGTAGTAATAATAATAATAAAAAAGATACACAAAAAATGTGGTGCTAAATAATTGTAAAAAATCCATTCCTTTTTATTTATCGGGAGCCTGGGTTTATTGGCTTTTGTTGGTAACAATCTTAAACTTTCTTTTCTCTCTAAATTTCATGATTTTTATAAGATTTTCGAGACATTTCTTTTATGTAGATTAAATATTTATCCATATTATTATTATTATTATTATTTTTCAAATTACACATATATTTCTTTTCTCATTTTTTTATACTTCCTTTAACACATTATACAGTATACACATCTTTTCTGGTCTTTTACACCTTGGGTAGAAACACCCTTTTTTTTATTAATGGAAAAGAAATCTATCATATCAAAGGCAAACATTTGATCAAAATATTATTTTTGCTATTTATTCCAATTAAAGATAAGGCTCATCCATATTTTTATAATAAGAAAATGTGAGTCAACTTGTTTGATTGAATTAATTAAATGTTAAATTAGTATTTTAATTAATTTAATAAAATATTTTATTTATAATCAATTTAATTACAATTCAACTATAATTTTAATAATTGATCTTAAATCAGTGACTCAATCAATCGATCCACTTTTTAGTAATTTATATACTCTTAAGTAGTTTGTGTATTATTAATAGGCATGAAATGAAATTAACATAATCTACATATCAATTAATTTCTTTTTTTTTTAAATATCATGACCCATTTTGAATTTTGCGTCAATACAAGACAACTGTCCTAGTTGAAGGATTTTGTAAAGTTATAAAATTTATACATGAATTTTTATACTATAAAAAATATTAAAATTTAAACAATAAAAATTATACATTAATTTTTATAAAATTATAAAATTAATTTAATTATTATAAAAAAAGATAATACATAATTTTTAATCTAAGGGAATGGGGAATCCTAACCCTCCAAAAACCTTCCATCAAACACATCCTAACCTTGTAAGCCTCAATCTAATTTAATCACCACATGAATTACTATATTAACAGTAAAAATTAGAGCAGAATTACTTTGATCAAGCCGAATTTGGGAAGGAAGCCAAAGAAATCACAAGAAAATGTCAGAAAGAGCATTACATCGGACATGCTCATAGTGGATACTACAGGCTACTGAGTTTGATTCTCCCACTTTTGATTCTCGTATTTCGTCCAACAGTTATTCCAAAGTTACTCAGCAGCATATAGCCCGAGAATCGTCCATGTCTTCGCTTTGATCGCACCACCCTCCTTCCGCCACAACCCTAACCCTAATTCTTGTTTTTTTGTTTCATATCCTAAGGAAATGTGCTCTGCTGCTTCATCTCTTTCCTTCCTCTTCCTTTCCACCAAGGCACGCTCACCTCTACAGCGAAATAACAGCCCCATTTTCAACCCTCCTAGACCATTCCTCTGCTTCCTCCGACCCTCAATTTCCAGACGCCAAATCTCCGCTGCAATCGCTCAGAATAATCTTGGGCTTTCGTGGGTTTCTCCAAATGAGAATCCTTCCGACAATTTTGGTGGTTGGGCGTTTGTCGAGTGTCCGGTCCCCCAGAGAAGGAAGAGAGGTAATTTGCAAATTTTGCTTCGTGAACGCAATTTTGATGACAAGGTTGAACTAAAACATCTTTGCAGCATTTCCTTCGTATGTGGTAGTTGGCATTGGTACTTCACTGGTTGTTCTGGCTGCCGTCATCGCTAGCTTTTCATTATCGAGGAAAGGTCAGCTATGAGATTATTTTAGGCTTTAAGCCTTAAGGTGTTTTTCAGGTTGGTTAATATCTCACAAAATTGTGGTTGCAGGTTTTAAGATTCAATTTGGAGGCCCATTGCAAGTTTTGCATGGAATTTTGAGCCCTTTGAAAGTTCGGGGGGATCAAATCAAAACTGCAGAGTCTGACACATCTAATGAGAAGGATTTGATGTCGGAGGTGACCGAAGAAACCGTCCCTATTTCTATTACAGAAACCGCTACATCTGGTATGTGGGGAGTGCCTCTTCCATTTTTCATGTGACACAGTTAATTTGTCTTGCATGTATTACAGCATAGGTCTTGATTGTAATTCCATTACCCTTATTTTTTCGTCATCCAGTTCTGATTGGTCTGTAATGTCATTTTCTTCTGAATTCTCTGGTGTTTTGCTGTCTTTGTTGTTTTAATATATCATCCATCTAATTTCCTCCCCTCACACCCAAAAAAAAAAAAAAATCTGCAGCTGTAGACAAGCCAGAGCGTGTTATAATTCCTCTGTCTGTCGATTCTACACAAGAAGAAGCCCTGTCACTCTTGAAGCTGCTGAAGGTTTGTTTCCAAAAGTACTATCTTTAATAAATGCAGGAGACAATAGTGTCCCCCCAAATTGAGTTGACAGTACATACAATTACGGGATCATTTTGTAGTGTTTATCTAGACTAATAGAATGTGATGCATTTGACCGCCTGGTTCTTTTGTCCTGAGTCTTGAACTAATATTTAGCTTACACACACAAATCCCATGAATATTTTAGGTTCCAAATTGCTTTACCACTTTTGATTTATCATAAAGATACAACTTACATGAATTTCTGCTTCCTACCTGGAATATCAACTTGTAGTTTTTGTCTACTTGCTTTTTTAATTTTTATGTTCCAAATTCCAGTAATTAGCTATGAAACTACATGACATTGTGATATTTATTGGACCTTGGGCTCGACTTCTTAGCAAGAGTATTCTGATTTTTATGTATTTGTATAGATAATTGAAGATGACGTGGAGGCTCATGAATTGTGCACAAGAAGGGAATTTGCAAGATGGCTGGTTAAATTAAATTCTTTTCTGGAACGGTTAGTGTCTGACCTAATGCATGAACACAACTTTCTAGTTGGGAATGTTTTGGAGATGAAACTTTTCTTTTTCTGTGATTTTTTAGTAAATGGATTCCTTTGTCTTTCAGAAATTTAAAACGCAGAATTGCGCCAGTAGTTACAATCTCTGGGTCATTGGTTACTGCTTTTGATGATATCAGGGTTGAAGACCCAGATTTTGCGGCCATTCAAGGTAAAAGATGATTGATCTATACAGACTATACTCCTAGAAGAAAATCTGTTTTCTGTGGGCAGAAGTTTAATTTTTTCCCTCAATTTACAATTAAAGCCTTAGCAGAAGCTGGTGTTATCCCTAGCAAATTATCTTCAAACAGTTGGTTCAATGCTGGTGGATTTGAAGGTCAAGAGAACATGAAATTCTTTCCTGATAGGTAAATTTATACTTACCCTTTTCCTCTTCAATGAATTTCTGTTTTGCTTTACTAATTATATGTGCAGATTCATTTCACGACAAGATTTAGTGGACTGGAGAGCGCAATTTGAGTATGAATTTTCCCCTGAAGTACTTGATCAGGTAAGATGTATTTGGAAGATGTGTTTGTAAAGTTGTCTCAAATGTACAAAATATGAAACTCAATGTGCCTATCAGCTCTTAAAACCTGACTTGTCTACAGTCCAGATATCAACTAAAAAAGTGAGCTTTATGGATGTGAAGGAGATCGGTTCTCATGTGTCCCCAGCACTTTATGTGGACATGTTGGCAGGGGATAGGAGCTTGCTCAGAAAAGTTTTTGGTATCATATCGCAGTCTTCTTCTCTGTTTAAAAATGTGCAATATTTTCCTTCTCACTTCCAGGCATCCTTTTATCATATGCTCGCAAAATGTTGTGTGTCCTCTATATCTCATATATAAGGGATTTTGATAATTGAGAGCTGTCTTACACTCGCAGAAATTTGTAATTTTTTCCAAAGATAATAGTAAACAGCAGCAGTCAGGTTTTGGTAATCAATGTTTTCTCCTAATGATAGGAACAACGAATGACGAAGTTCAAGTTACTGTGGAATCACTCAAACGAAGTAGTTGAACCAAATGTGATTAGCAGAAATTGAACTCACAATGATTTTGCAGGATATTTTTTTATGCATATTCCATTACAATTCACCCGTAGACAAAAGTGAATGTATGGAAAATCAGGCTTCTTAAATTTTCTTTAAGATGTGGATTATTGTTATGAATCTAAGGCTAGGAATGTCACAATGAAGAGCAACATCTGTAAACTTACTGTTATAGGACAGAGCAAGCGATTTCAGCCAAACAAGCCTTCAACAAAAGCACAGGCAGCTGTGGCTTTGACAAGTGGCAGTGTGAAGGAAGCAATTTTTTCTGAATTGTCAAGAATAGAATCTGAGAATTCTGCTAGACAAGCTGAGGCAGAAGAGATAAGGTCTGAGTTGCTTGGAAGAGGAGACATACAGAAGTTTTGGGATGAGAAGTTTAATGAAGAAAAATTCCGTGGTTCTGAAGTAGAGAAGCATTATCATGCTGCATTAAAGAATTTGGAAGAAGAGAAAGTTAATTTAGATAGGACATATGCTGATTATTTAAAAGAGAAGGCAGCAATGGATTGTCAGAGGCAGCTGCTACTTAGTGTAAAGGAAGAGGTTGATGAAATATCGGAAACACTTTCATCAGAGAGGGTTACCTATCTAGATGAAAAGCATGTTGTACAGCAGTCGCTCAAAGATCTGGAGTCCAAGCATGAAGAAATGCTTGATAAAAAATCTACACTGGAAGCTGAGAAAGAAGCTCTTCAGATTATGCGGTGATATATATTCTTTCCGCCCCTCTTTAATGGTTTTAGTATTTAACTTTTGTTATTTGTTTGATCATACTTGATTTTAGTGTCCGATCAAGCACCTATGTTGTTTGTTATTTGATGGTTAGTTATACTGGTACCATCAATTCCATTGGCATTGTCATTTGATAATTTTCTTGGATTTTTTACAAACAGAAATGAAAGCCTTTTTTCTAGCACTCTGTTTGTACTTATATTACAGAATGCAGCAAGGCTGCAGTTGTGGAAACAGTTTTTGATATGTCACATTGAATGGTTTGTGCTTCAGAGTATGTTTGCTAATTTTCAGATAGCATCATGATGCCAGATCTCTATCTAAACTGTCTTAGCGGGGGCCAGCTAATGCCTAGCCATCGAATGTTTCATTTCTTTACACCCTGTACTATAACCCCTGAACAAGTCTAGTTGTTTATGATGCTCAGATGCTTTGTTTATAGGTGGCAAGATGATGTTTGAAATGTGCGAAATTGCATGGGCAACTGCATCCACTTTTAACATAATCAAGTAAATAATTTAGATATTTGTGGCTGTGAAGTTGAGCATTATTTGACCACTAGGTTGTTGCCTTCTAAAGTTTGCAACGATGCCTTTTATATATTGGTATAGATGAGATGTGCAGTGTGCTGGCAGAAGAGCTAATCAACCTTGTTAAGTGTAACAAGATTTATATTTTTTATTATATTCGGAGGTGAATGTGAATCTCATTGGAGCAATTATTGCAGATCTTGGGTGGAGGACGAGGCAAGAAGAAGCCAAGCTCGAGCAGCGGTTCTAGAGGAGGTAGGGCGAAGATGGAGAGGGACAACGAAGCTTGAATAGGCAAGTTCTATGGGTGTAAATTTATCCTGTTCTGGTTGATTTAGAAAAATTCCTTAGCTCCAGTCTTGATGCGGATTCTCTGAACATTTATTGTACACTGGTGTTAATTGTAAACGATAATAATGTACAATTGTTTGGGAGGGTTTTGGCTTTGGCTATGGCCATGATTCAGGTTCCGATCGGGAAGTCATCTTAAAGCTTTTTTCTCAAGTCTTGACTAAACTATTTCATAATCTAGCAATATTCAATATTTTCTTCCTTGTAATATATCGGAGGTATTTTGTGGGTGAAATTATCGTCTTTATCTCTTGGAATTTCTAAAATTTTATTCCAAAAATATTACGTTCTTGAAAGCCTTGCAAATCTTGGATATCATGTTTAGGAAAATATTAAGACAAGATGTCGTCTCTTGAAGCCTAGCATGTTCATGTTTATATATATTTGGTATTTTGATCTTAGTTATTGTTAAGATAATATTTGGTCTAGGTTCTCAAGGCTTAGGGTTTCGATTTCAAATTTTTTATAATAATTAAATGCTATGAGGAGAGAATTCCTTTTTTTTTTTTTAATCAATTTAGTTAACCCCTTGGGAGAGGCCTTGTATGTTTGAGTGTTGCTGCAATTAAGGCAACTCTGATTGAAATTTAAACTGTTCTCTAATTTTCTCTAATGTACCCGGGGAGCTCTGTTTCTGACGTATTAATTTTGTTTTCTGTTTTTTATTAACTCCGGTAATTTTCCTGATGACCTTATCAGTTGTATCAATTTTATGCCATTTTTCATATACAGATGAAGATCGTCAACAGGTAGTCATGTTTTGCATGTCTAGAGAATCTGGTAGTCTTGCGAATAGTTGAGTAGACCAGGAGGTTGCCTTGTATTGTTTAGTATCATATCAAAATATCAAAAAATATAATATAATTAAATCTCCCAGACTGTTCGTTAATTATAAACTTGGACTTTTATGTATACATTTAAAAGAAAGAAAAGTAAACAAGTAAAATCATATGAACTTTTATTCATTTCATGCAATTCTATCTCTTGAAAATATGAGAGTAAAATCGACTCATTGTCCACAAGCATTACTGGATAGGATGGCGTGGTACTTCCAGAAACCACTGGGTTTTGGATTAGATGATATTTTTGGCCACTCCTGGTTCGGTGGAGCCCATTACATTAATATCCACAATTTGACATTTTTGTTTTACATATAATGTGCCATTTCATTTGCACGGTTTTTCTTTTCTTTTCTTTTTTTTTTTTGGGGGCAGACTTGTTATTCCTATTGATTTCTAGAGATTTGGTTGTTAGGACAATGATATGGGGTAATTTATGTAGCTAATCTCATAGTAAAATAAGACTTATTGTGATTGTTGTTGTTGGTCTTGTTGATCCTAATCATAATGTTGGGATGTTCTCTTTTCATTTTTTTTAACAAGTCACTTTTAACTAATTTATCAAAATCAATGTGAAATAGTTAAAATGATAAAATTCTCTTATAAATAAATTACTTTTCAATTTTGTCCCTATTAGAACATAAAAGAAGTTTCACATATGAAAATTAAAAGATGGATCATAACTATATATATAAGCTAAAAAAGTATATAACCAAATGATTTAAGCTATTATTTTTAAACATATTTAATATAAAAAATCTTATTATGGTGTTAAGAGCCATTCTATGAGGGGACAAAAAAATTTTTTAAAAAAAGAAGAATGAAAAATGAAAAATGAAAAAAAAAACAAGAGATTAAAAAAACAAGAGGAAGAAAAAAATTAAATAAATATGAGGTATTTGAGATTTTTTTTAAAAGTACAAGCCCAGGCATAAAGAAAAAGAAGAATAAAAAAATAAAAAAAATAGTAAAGAAAATATTAGAATATGAAAGAAATTTCACATCTAAAAATTACAAGATAGATCATACCTATATAAGCTTAAAAAATATCTAAGCCTACTTAAGCATCTTTAAGCATACTTAATATAAGAGATCTTAATAATCCTTATATTTTAAAAAAAGAGTGATTTGATGTCTATGAACAACTTTTTTTTAAATTAAAATATTACATTTTCTCTTAAAATTTGCCATACGATACTTTTGAATTTATATATTAATAGTTATAAAAATTTAAAAAAAATAATTTATATAAAGAACCGATAAAATATCGTAGAATATGACTTTCGAGGGCACGAGGGAGTGTATAAGTGTTCAACTTAATGTCCCTGCTATGGCAATTGGAGCAGTTATTTTCAAAACAGAGCGAAAACAGAGTATTTGATGGTACTGACAATCTCCCTCTCCTATTCTAGGCTGTTAATATGTCGTTTCAATGTTACATTTTTATAAATAAATTGTAAATTAGATTATTTTTATATTTTAAAGTGTATCTTTAATTTTTTTTTAACTTTATATATTGATTAATACTAATCCATTAATTTTATAAAATATTTTTTATCTTTTAATTATAATATTTTACTTTTATTAATGAAAAAAATTTTACATTGAGCTTTCAAATATTGATAAAATATTTATAAATGTTGATATATTAAATTTAATTTTTTTAAATCATAATGTTTGGTATAAAATAATTATTTGAAACTAATTATATTATGGTTAGATAACTAAAAAGATAACTTATAAAATTAAAAGCCATATAAAAATCATATATAAATTAGAAAATTAAGGGTAGATTTTAGCCTTTTTTTTGTTATTATTGCACGCAATTTAACCAATTGAATCACTATTTTCTGGCCAACCAAAATAAAACAAACGTATTATTTCTCATTCATGAATAATACAATTTATTATAATCCTCTGGTCTTTTTTTTAAACATATTTTACTAAAATTAAGAAAAACTTTAAAACTTATTAACTCTATTTAAAAATTTAATAATTTTTCAACTTTAACAAAAAAAATTTCCAACATTCAATGAAGATTAAATAGAAAAATTTGTAATAAAATTTAATAAGATAATTTATAAATAGAATCAAAAAAATTCTTTCTCCATCCTATAGACATGACCAAAGGGAGTAAACTTTATATTTTTGTATTAATCATTTTAAAATTGAAATTAATGAAGATTATGTTATAAAAAAGTATTTATAAAATTTTAATTGCATATATTCAAATCAACTCAAATATTGTTATTTGAATTTAAATATATTTATTAAAATTTATATTGTAAAATAATTTAAAAAACAAAAAGTGAAAAGAAAAACGATGAAAATGCAATTTAGAATATGTATATTGTGTGTGTGCAACAAAATTAAGGCGTTGACAGGTACCTACTAGACACCAACAAATACCATCTATTGATACTTGATGGAATGGACTTCATTAGCTTATGGTCCTGCTTGCTTCTTTCCCATGTTTCCCTCTCTAATCTCATGCCATGTGTTGTTCTGAAAGCTTGGAATTATTGAAAAGTTCTTTTCATTTTAATTTTTAGTCCATTTTTATATTTAAAATTATAAAATATTATAGTTTTTAGAGAAAATTGAAATCCCAATGGCCCCAAACTGCGCTCATCATTTAACAGAAATATTCTTCTATTTTTTCACCACACAATGACTTCATGTCATATTTGAGGTTTTAAAAAAGATACTCCCTCCACTTAAAAGTGTAAGACATTTTTTGAGGAGTTAGATATTAAAAAATATAAAATATTTTTATTCTTTTGAAGTATAATCATTGCCTTTTTTAAAAAATATCCGTATTGATAATGACTTTATATATATTGTAGGGTATTTAATAGGGATAAATATGAAAAGATAATATTAATTGAAAAGTAGATAACTAATTTATTAAGAGATGAAATTTAATTAAAAATATTTTATATTTTTAAATGGAGGAAATATTTAAGTAGAAAATTTTTCAAATGACTCATGACGTTGGGTTTGAAACAAGCTTTTAAAGGAATCACAGTTAAGTTCAGAGGAGAAAAGTAATACAATTTTTTTAAATTAGTTATAATTCAAACGGTTGTGAATTTAAAAATTTAATTATAAATATAATATTTAAATTCTAAATATAATAATTAATTTATAATTTAAATTCTTATTTATAATTTTTTGAATTAATATTTATAATTTATTTCATTGAATTTTTTTTTGAGAATTTAACTATAGTTAATTCATTCTTTTAAGATATTATTATCATTCTCCCTAAGTTTTTTTTGGCTCATCACAGTTGGGCAGGTGCCGTCGGTTGAGAAATTCAATGACTTTTAAATATTTGTTACCCTTAACTAATGAGATTAAGTCTAACTGAATGGGCTAATCCTTTATAATATAATAATTTAAAATTTAAATTTTTATTAAAAGAACTGTCTCTAATAAAAAAAAAATACTTGTGACTAATAAAAAAAGTGAAATAATAATTTTTTTTTGTCTATGACCTAAGACACTTCTAACTCTTCTACTAAAAAGGGGGTAGTTATATTATATTATTAAAACGACTTTTCAAGCTTGCCCTTATTTGAAAACATGAATTTTAAAACGAAAAATATCAGGAAGGTGTAACAAAAATGGTTTTGGACAAAAAAAAACTAATTAATATTTCACATTTTTCATGTTCAAAGTGACTAAGATACAAGACAAGATGTAGCACAAGTTTTCAACCAAAACAAAGATGATATTAAAATTTCACTGGCCAACCAAATCAATACAATTTTATTAAAGAGTCCCTTGACAATGAATGGTTAGTTTAAGGGATAATAAATTTTTTTAATTCTTCAAATTTGTCCTACCTATCCATTTGATCCTTTAAATTTGCCTCAATTATTAATTTAATCTTTATTATTTAAAGAATAGGTAATGCATTAAAATTTATTAACATAAATAATGAAATATTGAATTGACAGTGATATTGACTAATAAAAAGAAGTTTTTAATGACTTAGGCAAGAAAAAAAAACGCAAAAGTTCTAAAAAAACAAAAGAATAGAACCAAGGTATAAGAAATAAAAGAAAATGAGGGGCATAAGAAAAATGAGAAAATAAAGGAAAAAGAAGCATATAAAAAACAAAACTGATTTGTTCTATTCCAGTCATATAGACATGTAAAGTTATTAACATATTTTATATAAAAACTCAATTTATATTTTAAAATATAAAGAATTAATATAATAACTTAAGAAAATGTAAATAATTGAATTTGAAGAATCAAATTAATGGCCGAGTGGAATTTCGCGAACTAAAATTTTAATTATCCTTTAATTTAATCATGTGTTAAGTGGCCCATTTAATTAAACACCAAAAAGAGCTGGAGACAAAAGACCCTAGTTGGGATAGAAATGCCAAAAAGAGTAACATGCTATGAAGTGGGTCAGGACTTAAGAGTCATTCACCAAAAAGGCTTTGCCATTCATTCAGTCACTTTTCGGCTGCTTGCTTCTTCCCAAATGCTTCAGTCCATCAAACGTACATCTTCCCCATTAAAACTGCCCCCTCAACTTTACTCAATCATCACTTAATTAAATCAATTCACTTTGATATCTCCCTCTCTTTGTTCTTTTTTTTTTAGCAACACAAAATAAAAAAAAAAGTTTCATTTTGAGAGGGACCCACTTCTTCACTCTTTAATCAGACAAATTTCAACCCTTCATTACTGTGATCTTTCTGTAGGTCCATAATTTAACATTATTTCTTTAATACTAAGAGTGCAAGCTCAACTAATTGGTGTCTATAGTTACATATCCTATCCTATAACTAGTGAAATGTTATAATGAAGATCTCAGTTACATATTGGAAAATAGTTTTTATTATTATTAGGTATTAGTTTTTGAAAAAATTGTGAACTTTATTTGACAAATAACAAATTTTTGAACGCCTTAATCTATAAAAATTTGTCAAAATATTTAAAGATGATAAGTGTCATCTTTCCTAAATTGGATTTTTCTCTAACAAATTTGTATCATATCAAGATTCAAGATCAACTTTTCTGAATCATAGATGGATTATATACAATATTAATTTGAAGAGAGAAAAAAATATTTTCTATAATTGTTCGTAAAAATATTAATTTCGTCTTTGTGTATGGTTAATGATGTTACTTTTTACATCAAACAAAATTAAAATGTGTGGGTGTACACATCTTTTACCTCTGACTTTAAGATTCTCCAAAAGATTGGTTCAATTTTGCGAGACGCTAATGTTAAAATAAGTTTATTGCTTGTCTGCAAAAATACATGCTTGACGTTAAGATTGAGAATTACATCCCAAGAAGGACAACGGCTACATTAAATGAAGGATTGAGAAGAAAAAATGAAAACCCATTTCTTCTCATCCTCACATTTTTCATCTCTCAAATGTTGAACCTAGCAGTTGGATAGATTAGCCATAAATAAGGAATTTGCAAGAAAGAGACACAGCTGCTTGATGGACATGCCTCTGTTTTCGTTCCAACTTGTAAATAATCCTACGAGCAAATCGTGAGGGTAATATATCTCATGCCCCATATCCCAAAACTGTATTTTTGTCAATCTCTTTGGACCAAGATTGGCCACTTGTTATTTGGTGGCTGCTGTACCTCTTCTTAGCATCAGACTTGTGCTTGAAATTCAGCTTATTATCTGCACTTTTCTTGTCTTCAGGCTACCCAGGCATCTTCTCTCTTGAAAGGTTTCACAAACTGTACGAAGATAGAAACCGAATGTCTGAACATTCCATGGGATTTACGGTTAATCGAAAGTCTCCTGCACTGGGTTTTGTTTAAACATTTCGTATTTGCTATCTTCTCCACCTATTTCAAATTCTGGGGCGTGTCCAGAAGCTTCTAATGGTTTGAACTTTCAATTATGGAGGTTGGAGGAAATGGGGAAATGCAAAGTTAGGGCTCTGCTATTAATAATACCTTTTCCTTCATGATAGTCAGATTAGGACTCTTAGTTGCTGCTTCTATCGCAGCTTATTCTGTTAAGCAGCTAAACGTTAGAAGCACAAAATCATCAGCTTCTCAATCAGGTACTTTTTGCTACTTTTGATTCATTTCGCTTCTTGATTAACTAAAGAGAATTTCACTTGCTTTATTGAGTATAACAATTGTCCTAGATTTTCATTCTATTCATGCTTCAGAACATGGCAGAAGAAGGTCCAAAAAGCATCAAGAAAAGGGAACAGAAGAAGAGCAGGCCGCGTGTTCTACTAAAGGTCTCAACGAGAAGGAAGTGAGTATATTAAGCTGAATATATGTTAACATCTATTTCTTCCGTAGCTTTAAGGATTTTATTCAGGAAATTGTATGCTGTTAATGTTGCAGTGGGAGGAGGAAGAGGAAGAAGAGGAGGTTAAGTTAATTAGCAGCATAATTAATCGTGCTCATGATTTTGAAGACGAAATTCTACCTGAATTTGAGAGTCTTCTATCTGGGGAGATTGAGTTTCCTCTATCCAGGAGCGGGTCTGAGAAGGCTGAGAAAGACAAAGTTTATGAAACTGAGATGGCAAACAATGCAACTGAACTAGAACGATTGAAGAACCTGGTAAAGGAATTGGAGGAGAGGGAAGTGAAACTCGAAGGCGAATTGCTTGAGTACTATGGGTTGAAAGAGCAGGAATCAGACATTGTGGAACTGCAGAGGCAGTTAAAAATTAAGACAGTTGAAATAGGTATGCTTAATATTAAAATCAATTCCTTGCAGGCAGAGAGAAAGAAGCTTCAAGAAGAGCTAGAACAGGTAGGCTCAGCCAAGAGGGAACTTGAGGCGGCCAGGAGCAAGATAAAGGAGCTGCAAAGGCAAATACAGCTTGAGGCTAACCAGACAAAAGGCCAGTTGTTGTTGCTTAAACAACAAGTTTCTGGTCTCCAGGCAAAAGAAGTAGAAGCTGTCAGGAAAGATGCTGAAATTGATAAGAAGCTGAAAGCTCTGAACGAGTTAGAGGTAGAGGCTGTTGAGCTTAAGAGGAAGAACAAAGAACTTCAACACGAGAAGAGAGAGTTAATTGTAAAGCTCAATGCTGCTGAATCTAACATGACGGAGGTCAGTGTTCCATATTTCTTCCTTCAAGAATAATTTGAATGGATGCATTCTGACAAATGTATATAATTGCACATAAATGAAGTAGCCTATGATTCTGTCCTTGTTGGATTGAACCATATTATTTCTCCCTTTCATGCAACAATTGTTCAAGATTACTTGGACCTCTTTATCTCGTCGGCTGAATAATTAGAAGGCACAGCACTGAAGAAATGATTGAAACTACTGCAAAAATTCAGTGAATACTAGAAAGGACTAAAGAACTAAACACTAGACCTATATAATATTCATCTAATTTGAAGTTCTCTTGGTTTTTAAGTTAGCGCCCATCTCTTTTTCCTTTCTGTAATACTTGTATTAGAGTGATTTAAAATTAAATACTTTGTTTCAAACTGCAGAATGAAATGGTTGCCAAGGCCAGAGAGGAAGTCACCAATCTAAGGCATGCCAATGAAGACCTCTTAAAGCAAGTTGAGGGACTTCAAATGAATAGGTTTAATGAAGTTGAAGAGCTTGTATACCTTCGATGGGTCAATGCATGTTTGAGATATGAGCTCAGGAATTACCGGGCCCCTCCAGGAAAAATATCAGCACGTGATCTCAACAAGAGTCTTAGCCCAAAATCTCAGGAGAAGGCTAAGCAGTTGATGTTAGAATATGCTGGATCAGAACGTGGGCAAGGAGACACAGATCTTGATAGCAACTTCTCCCACCCCTCATCGCCTGGCAGTGAAGATTTTGACAATACTTCTGTTGATAGCTCTACTAGCAAATATAGTAATCTTAGCAAGAAAACTAGCTTAATCCAAAAGTTGAAGAAATGGGGTAAAGTCAAAGACGATTCTAGTGTTCTTTCATCATCGCCCAGATCTCTTTCAGGAAGCTCTCCAAGAAGGATGAGTATGATGACCCAGAGACCTAAGGGTCCACTGGAAACTTTGATGCTGAGGAATGCTGGTGATAGCGTGGCCATTACTAGTTTTGGGCTGAGGGATCAGGAAACCGATTCTCCTGACAAAGTTCCATCTACTGACTCCCTGCATTCAGTTGCAGCTTCATTCCAATTGATGTCCAAATCAATTGATGGGTCTCTAGATGAAAAATATCCTGCATATAAAGACCGCCATAAATTGGCCTTAGAAAGGGAGAGACATATCAAAGAAAAGGCTGAGCAAGCAAGAGTGCAGAAGTTTGGTGACAATTTGAACTTGGCCAAGGCTGAAAGAGACAAGTCTGTGTCTTTGCCGGCAAGACTTTCTCTAATAAAGGAGAAGACATTTGTTTCTGGCAGTCCCAACGATCAATCTGAGAATGCTAATGATGTTGATAATAAAACCATTAGCAAGATGACACTGGCTCACATTGAAAAAAGGCCTCCAAGGGTGCCTCGGCCACCTCCTAAGCCATCTGATGGTGCTACTGTCAGTACAAATTCAAATCTTTCCAAGGAAGTACCACCTGCTCCACCTATTCCTCCTCCACCTCCTCCTCCTCCACCAGGAAGCCTTAGAGGGGCAATGGGTAATGATAAAGTTCACAGGGCCCCTGAGCTTGTTGAGTTTTACCAAACATTGATGAAGCGGGAGGCTAAGAAGGATACTTCATCATTAATTTCCTCAACAACTAATGCATCTGATGCCAGGAGCAATATGATTGGGGAAATTGAGAATAGATCGTCATTCCTCTTAGCTGTAAATAAACGTTTCACTCTATTTTCTCTATTCTCATGTTGCCATGGAGTCTGATTCATTACATAAGATTATATTTATATATATATATATTTTGATGAATGTAGGTGAAAGCTGATGTAGAAACACAAGGTGATTTTGTCATGTCCCTGGCAAATGAAGTTCGAGCATCCTCCTTCTCAAACATTGGTGATTTAGTGGCCTTTGTTAACTGGCTAGATGAGGAACTCTCTTTCCTGGTATGCCTAAGTGTTATTCTTGAATACACCCATCCATCAGAGAAAAGCATTTCAGGTGTAATTTTTATGGGGAATCATGGATGTTACTACCTGCACTCTCTATTTTGCACGTTCATTTCTAGGGAAAGCCTCTAAATTTTTCCCTAGGAAATGCAATCCAATTTATTAATTACCGAGTCATTTGCCTTTCAAGTTTTTTCCCAATTCACAATTCTATAGCATGTGATCACGGCATACTTACTCATCTGATTGCATTCCCTATGTTAGGTTGATGAACGAGCTGTCCTCAAGCACTTTGATTGGCCTGAAGGGAAAGCAGATGCTCTGAGGGAAGCAGCGTTTGAATATCAGGATCTGATAAAATTGGAGAAACAAGTTTCCTCCTTCCATGATGATCCCAATCTTCCATGCGAAGCTGCTTTGAAGAAAATGTACTCATTGCTTGAAAAGTATGTATCTTTATTTCTGCAGTAGATTTACTTTCTTGAAGTCTTAAATGCTTAGCTTAAGAAGTCAATGTTTGGTGGATAGTTTCTTGAGAGTTCAAAGCTATAATGATTTCTCTTTCAAGGCTGTGGCCGGGAGATTGTTTGGACTTTAACAAGTCATAAAATATTTTAGTGTGGTCTTTGCTCATTTTGTTGACAGTTTGTGCATGTTGGTTAACAGTTTTCTATAGTTGCTTCAATTTGATCTAACAACCGTAGTTTCTTTTTTGATTTGATCATTTCCAGAGTGGAGCAAAGCGTATATGCACTCTTACGTACGAGAGATATGGCTATTTCACGGTACAGGGAATTTGGAATCCCAGTAAATTGGTTGTTAGACTCCGGAGTTGTTGGCAAGGTATGCTAATCACTAACAGTTTCTGTTGTAGCAGCTAGAAAGGCCATTATTTTATATTATTATAAATAATATCTATTTCACCTTTAAACTAGTTATAGTTTTTAATGATTCTGTGTAAGAGATATAAAATTCATTCATCTGCAACTTTTTTCCTCTAGTTCAAGAATTCTGAACCAAATCATTCAACTGTTTAAAAAGTTAAAGTGATTAGCTCAAACATATTGCTCCCCTTATATTAAGTCTGCTTACAATTTCAAATAGAGTTGTGAAATTATGGATGATCGTATAATAATGGTTGAGCATAGAGTTAATATTTTGCTTGTGCATACCGTGGTTCAGTTGATAATATGACAGAAATACATGTACAGGAATTTCTAGAAGGAGAAAATCACACACACTCACATACGTATGTTGTAATTGACAGTGTCGAAGTGGGTGTTTAAGGTGATGTGGTTCTTTATTGACTCTTTGCACCAAGTGACTGTGAGGGCTTTTCTTTCAAGGGATGAATTGGATAAAGATGTACTTTCATGGGATGTTGAATCTAAAATACGAGAATAGTTTATCGGAGTGCATACACACGCACACACATGTACACACTATGACTCAAGAATGAATAAGAAGTCTCTTCTGTAACAAGAAGTCTATGCAACGGTATCAAATGTTGATGTCCTGTAAACTTCCCATTGCAGATCAAGCTTTCTTCTGTGCAACTGGCGAAGAAGTATATGAAACGTGTTGCATCTGAACTCGATACATTATCTGGACCAGAGAAAGAACCAATGAGAGAATTCCTGATTTTGCAAGGTGTCCGCTTTGCTTTCCGTGTTCATCAGGTACTTCTCCTTTAGGCTCTTGATACTATTTAAACAAATATGGTTTGCTGTCAAGCTAATAGCTCATGCATCACCAATCTTAGTGTTTAAGATTGGCATGTCCCTTTGGGCGTGTCACACCTGGAAACTTTACAAGTAAAGTGGAATTTATAAGTGTAAGAAGCTCTCCCATCTAATAAGTTGGTTTTTTAGAATGGGCTTTCTTTTTAAACTTGTACTTGTAATATTAGTACTCTCGTTGAGAGATTGATGTCATGAAGAGGGCTATCTAGAATGGTTTCGACCAGCAAAAAGCTAATTAAAGTATTGTGGAGTGAAACTGCCAAGGATGTTGGATCTTGAATGGGTTGCATTGTTATAAATAACTCATTGGAAACCCTCACAAATGTAATGAGGTTTATAAGTGTGAGAAGTTCTTTCACCTAATAGACTAGTTTTTTGGGATGAATTCTCTCTTGAACTTGTGCTCATTGACTTTGTGTTTGTTGATGGCAAAACTCTGGATGATGTAAACCAGTTTTGAATGATAATTGAAACATGTTTTGGAACTATCTGCAGTTTGCAGGAGGCTTTGATGCAGAGAGCATGAAGGCTTTTGAAGAACTGAGAAGCCGCATCCATGCTCAAGGAGGTGAAGATAATAAACCCGAAGAAGCATAAAGCATTAGCACAAGATTTTTTTTCCACCTTTCTGATATATTTGGATCTTTCACAGATGTATATTTCACATCGTGCTTTTGCTTGTATAATTTGTTTAGCCTGTACATATTGGCTTCTCTACAATAACGCAATCATGAATGTCATTTCTGCCCGAAAAAATAATAAAAATAATAAAATATTAGAAATGTTTTACTTGCTGCTTCGGACAAGAAGATGGTCGATCAGTGCCTAGTTAGTGTTTGTTTGCATGATTTTCAATAGGGCAAGCAAGAATTGAGATTCAACTGAACAAAATTCAATATCAAGAATACAAATTTGTCTTTAATTTATCCAAGTATGATGAACTTAGAATATAAAACAAAAATTTAAATAGAAATAAAGTTGAAAATAATGTAACAAGAAAAATTGAAAACTGGACAATAATAATATTGAATAATAATTAGAAAAGCATTATAAATATGGAGAATGACATATAAAGACGATTGAAATGTACATATAATAGATGAGGATTAAGAAACAAAATGGCTTAGTTGTAGTAAAGTCATTGGAGACATATTTAAAATTAACATTTTGTGTAAATGTCATGAGATTTTGGAGTAATTTTGTAATTTTTTAAGACTTCTATATTTAGATTTTTTGTGTGGGATTTTTTAGTGATTTTTTTGGGGTGAATGATGGGTTAATGCTATAAATTAGTAAATTATTTATAAACCATTTTATTTCATTAGATGTTTACATTTATGTTTGCTTCATTTATCAAATAAAATAAATTTGATCAATATATGAAGCGAGTGATAAAAAATGAATTTAATATATTAATACTAGCTGAGTTAATTCGATTATTGATAAGGAATGACATCTAATCTTTATCTTCAAATAATAAACATAAATAAATAATATTAAATAATAATCCATTAAACATGGTCTAAAACAATCACTTTTCTGTCTACTTCAAACCAAAAACGTTGTAACAGTACAACTTGATTCCTCTATGATGATAGTTTGAGTTTCTGTGCAAATTGTGATCATCAATTCTTCTTCGTGGATTGTGATCAATAATCTGTCTGGCCTCCATAAAAATGCAATGACTAGAAAGTAATGTAGTGCTTAATGTAAAACAAATTTGAAAAAAGCAACTCCACTTTTCTCTCAATGAATTCCAAGCTTGCTCTTAATCCAAACTTTGTCTTCTTTGCCTCGACATCTCAAGATGCTTGCATGGATCCACCTGCATCCAAAGAAGAGTTGATTTTATCAATGGAAATGTCTCCAAGGTGGATGAAGAAATGATAGACAAAGGATCAGTAAACAAGCAAAATGAGGTTCATCCTATGGACATACAATTTGAGAGTAACAGAGTAGGCAATCTAACCAATAAAAACTTGATTCAAGGTATTAAAGCTTTCAAAGCTCCCATTTCTTACAGAGACTCATTGGTAGGCTATAATGGGTGCAATGGAATTTGGAGTAACACTAAGTAAATTAATGATACTTTAGCTAAGGACCTAGATCAAAAGTAGACTCCTTCAGATGAAACTAAGAATTGATGGATCACTATCCTAGCATCTAGATTTCAGATGAGGAATTGAAGAAAATATGCACATCCTGGATGGATGATCTAGTCATCAAAATACTGGGTATTCAACTTAATCCTAAGTTTCTCAAGCCCAAATTAGCAAAGATGTGGCATATTAGAGACTTTGAACCCACCAATTTGGTAAATGGTTATTACATAATGAGAACTAAGGATCAAGCATTTTATCAAAACATTCTTAATGGAGGTCCGTGGACAACCTTCGACCATTGTATTCTAGCCTAGCACTGGTCACCAATCTTCAACCCAAACAAAAATATCCTTGGCAAGATAGTTCTTTGGGTAAGATTAAACAATATTCCCATCTAATGCTATGACAAAAAAATTCTATCGAGAATAGGTAACTATATAGGCAAAACTCTTAAAGTCGATGTGAACACACTCTTTAAAGCATATATGCAAAATGAGCTTGGTAAAACGGAAAGGAGAAATTTGTTTGAATTAGTGTTGACATTGATTTCCAGAAGAAACTTATGCCAAGGATTCTTATTAGAGATGAGCTTTACAATGGTGAATATGAAAGCTTGAATCTTATTTGTTTTAGATGTGGTTGCTACGGCCATAACAAAAACACATGTCCACATAGCCTCAGAACCAAAAGAGAAGGAGAAGAGCAAGAATGATATAGATATCCCAATCACGAAAATATACGAAATCCTACCAGCTATTCATTAAACTAGATAAATCAAGAAAAGCAATTTCAATATCCAATAGGGTCATCGAAAGCTTACCTACCGAAAGAAATTTGTGATGATTGGATGAAATTTTGACATCTTGCCCATGCATGAAACTCGAAGTACCAAACGAGTAACAAGCAGATTCACCAAAATCGAGGATCTAACCTCTAGAATAGATCCAGATTTGATATTCTAGCCACTAGAGCACAAAGATGATGGAAAAATGAGCTACCTAATTGCCTTTAATGGTCCATCTACAAAACCAACAGCAAAGGTTGTTAGAAAGGTATAGAGAAGGAAGGATTTAGCAGGAAGCAAGAGATTCCGAATTGAAGAGAATGATGTGTTGGCTAATGCTTCTGGAGATGACGAGAACGCTCGAAGACTGGTTAAAGGAAAGAAAGCTACTCACATTAGGCCCAGCTTCAATTGGAATGGCCCAAAGTCTATCACATTGGATAAAGGCCCAGCTAATGGACTTTAAATGAAATGCTCAACTTTGGGCTCCTCTAAATGTATCTACACCGTAGCCGAAGGGAATAAAAGGGAATTGGGCTCTTCAAAGAGGCCCAATGAAGCAGACAAAAGGAAGCCCATCAGAATGATCCTTCAACTAAAGCTTTTCTCTCTGCCAATCTTAAAGTATGGTCGTAAGGCATAGAACATAATAATTCGGTTGAAAATTAAATTTCTCCTTCAAATTCGAGTGTCAATTTGGAACTGAGGAAACCACTTGATCCTAATATCTCTATCAACATTGTTCTTGGAACCCAACTAAACTTTAATCCTTCCGTGCAAATTCAAAACAAGTCCTCATATAATAAAGTTGATGATGATGATGATCTCTTGTTCGAGGGTAATGAAGATGATATCATCGATGAAGACCTATTGGATGAAGAGTTTGATAATTCTCACATCAATAATGACATTGAAGGCGATGAATTCAGTGAAGATGGGGATGAGATCTAATTTCACTTATGAAAGCCTTATATGTTTTTCAGGTTTATCCACTCTTTTTCTTCATTTATGTATATTATTTACTAGAATTGTAGAGGTCTCTATGGAAAAAATTTCCCTGGATGCATAAGAGAAATTACCAAAACTTATAATACTCAAATTCTTATTTTAGTTGAAATTAGAGCCAGTGGATCTTGAGCTAATAAAATTGTTAAAAAATTAGGTTTCTTTGATTGGATCCGTGTTAAAGCTACTGGCTATGCTGGTGGTATTTGGATTTTATGAAATAATGACACTATTTATATTGATTATCTTTATTCTAATGCCAGATTCTTCATTACAGGGTTAATTTTATTTCTATAATGACACTACACACTACTGTCGAATAGCACCAAAGTTAATAAAAACTAAATTTTTAATAAAGCGCAACTTAGGTCATCTTCCTCAGAGTCAATAGAGTAACTATTTAAATTATGATTATGAAAAAGTATAATGGAGGGTTTTTTATGATGAGATTAAAAACTAAATTAAAAATAAATAAATAAAGGAAATTCAACTAAAAAAATTACCAAGAACAAGAAGCGCAATCAATCACAACCCAATCACCTAAATTTAATCTTTCTTGTCCAAAAATAAATTAATTTTATTCAACTTTATTATTTTGATTTTATTATATATTTCTCAAATTATCATTTAAGAATTAAACAAGAAGTTAAGTTATAGATTAATTAAAATCTCCCTTAACCCAAACCTAACAATTATTTTATGTTAGCCACACAAAAAATAAAGCATGATAATCACCCAAACTATGTCAATTACTCTTATGTTACTATATCAATCGATAATAACAAGTAAAATCTCAGATAAAATTTATAACCCAAAAATTATGCAATAAAGCTACTCTAATCAACAATAAAATTAAAGTATAAAATTCAGAGGTAGAGAGAAAAGAGCAATTAGAATAAAGCTAGAATAAAATCTTCCCTGAATATCAAAGACTCTAATTAAAATTTAGGATATGATTTATATGATCACACTAAAAAAATTAGCTATTCATGAAACTAAAAATTAAGAAATATGAGATGAGAAATGATAAGCCATCGCCTGTATATTGAAGAAAAGAAATAGAAGTCGCTTCTTGTGTTTATTCACCATAAAAAGTCCATGCTTTGATTCTTTCTGTAACATCCTAAAAATTTTAAGACTCAAATTTATTTAAAAAAAATAAACAAAAATAAAATAAAATATCTATAATTAAATTAAAATTTAGAATAATTTAATAGAGGCCCAGAGTTTCGAATTTTACTAAGCAAAAGTTTGGTTTTATTTGATTTTTAACTATGGGAAAAATTACCAAAGTTGACCCGGGCTTTTGTGCAATAATAAAAAATGTTGGGCCCTTTCTTGTAATTTTCCCCAAAGTTTTTGACCAGCATTTTAAGGAGCAAACTGATGCAGAAACGCAGAGAAAATGAGAAAGGAAGCAAACGCACAAACGGGAGAGAGAGAGAGAGGAGAAGAGAAGAGAAAGGGAGGGAGTTAGGCTTGGATCTAGGAGTCTTTGCGACCGTTGCGAGCTCGGCTACACGATAGGTAAACTCCCTACTTCAATCCTCTTCTCTTTCTCTTGATTTTCTTCAATTTTTGGAAGAGGAAATTTTTGGATTTTGATCCCAAAGGCTTTATTCTTGTAAGCTTTTGTTTCTTTGGATCTCTAGGGAGCATGTTTTGAGTTTCTATATAGTGATCTAATGTTTTGAGTGAATAATTGGATGAAAAGAGGTGTTTTGGGCACAAAATAAACCTTGAGAAATTGGGTTTTTGCTCCTCAATGGTTTAAGCTATTGATTTAGTTATAATTTTGCTATTTGAGCCCAATAAGATTTAAATTAAGGTTTGGTTTTCATTATAAGGGCTAATGGTGAAAGTTGGTGGCACTAAGTAAAGGTTTTTAATTGATTAAA